ATATGTATTTATTGCCATTTTACTGTTCATTTTTTTTTTATTTTTTTTATTTTTTTACCTTTTTTCTTCTTAAAAAATACCCTTCAACATTGCATGTAATACTGGTTTGGCGGTGATGAACTCCTTCAGCTTTTTCTTTGTGAACTCTGTCTGACCTTCAGTTCTAAATGATAGCTTTGCTGGGTAGAGTAATCTTGGTTGTAGGTTCTTGCTATTCAACACTTTGAATATTTCTTGCCACTCCCTTCTGGCCTGCAGAGTTTCTTTTGAGAAATCAGCTGACAGCCCTATGGGTGCTCCCTTGTGGTAGCTAACTGCTTTTTTTGTGCTGCTTTTAAGATTCTCTCTTTGTCTTTAACCCTTGGCATTTTAATTATGATGTGTCTTGATGTGGAGTTCTTTGGGTTCATCTTGTTTGTAACTCTTTGTGCTTCCTGGATTTATAAGTCTATTTCTTTCGCCAAATAGAGATCGTTTTCTGTCATTTTTTTTCTTTTGGTAGGTTTTCAGTATCTTGCTCCCTCTCTTTTTCTGGCATTCTCATGAAGCAAATGTTGCTAGGCTTGAAGCTTTCCTAGAGGTTCCTTACACTGTCTTCAGGTTTTGGGATTCTTTTTTCGTTTTGCTCTTCTGATTTGGTGTTTTTTGCTTCCTCATATTTCAAATCACTGATTTGATTCTAGGCATCCTCTACTCTTGATTACTTATAAATTATCCTTTATTTAAATTAAGTATGCTTAATTTCTGACTGTCTTTTTTATGTCTTTAATGTTCTCAATAATTTCCTTGAAATCTTCACTAAATCCCTTGAAGCTCTCATTAAGATCCTTGAGCATCCTTATAACCATTGTTTTGAATTGTATCTAGTAGTTTGCTTACTTCCATTTCATTTAGTTCTTTGGACCATTTCTGTTCTTGAACTTGTGACATGTTTGTTTCCACATTTTGGCTGCATCCCTGTGTTTATTTCTATGTATTAGGTAGAACTGCAATGTCTCCTGGAATTGGTAGAGTGGCCTTGGGTAGTAGATGTCACTGTAGGGCCCAGTGGCTCAGCCTCCACAGTCACCTGAGCTGGCATTGTAGGTACACCCTTGTGTAGGCTGCGTGCATGGTCTTGTAGTTAGCCTTGATGGCTGTTAGCATCGCTGGGAAGAATTGGCCCCCAGGCCAGTTGACAGTGAGAACCAGCTGCGACTACAGTGGAAGAGCTGGTGTGCAGGAGAAACCCCTATGGAGGAAGATTTGCTTCCGTGGGACTTTGGTGCTCACTGAGTCTGCCCCTTGAGTGTGTCCTTTGTAGATGTGTAGGGTTGTAACCTGGCATAGTCTGAAGCTGTCCACTGGGGCACAGGCTCTGTGGTCCCCCCTGCAGTCAGCCTCTGCCTGTGCCCTGCCTGGGCTACCTGTCAGGCGCTACAGAACGATCCGTAGAGGGCTGCTACTTGTGTTGGGCTTGGAAGTGCCCAGGAGAGGCCAAGCTGTAAAACAAGGCAGGTTCCTGCTATTGCCAGGCCTGGAGCCTCTTATTGAAAGGTATGGGGCACATTGAATCCAGCTACTGTTTGTTTCAGGGATATTAGGACAGACAGAAGCCTGAGCCAGGGCAGGCCATTCCTATGGAGAAGCTGCTACAAACAGCTTGGGGTGGGGCTGCAGGTTGGATGGGGCAGGGTCTAGGGAATCACCAGGGCAGAGCAAACTGTGAGCCAGTCTGATGGAAACTCGGATATGGTGCCTATCATTCTGCTCTGTGGTGGGGGAGGTCCCAATACAGGAATAGTAACCCCTGCAAGCACTCCTGTTGGGGAGAAAGCCACCCCCAAGTTCTTGCCTGGTGCCAGACCATCCATTTCCTCCCCTTAGTCCCTGGGTCCCCCCCCAAGCCGCTGCCCCAGCGTTGGCGCTCAGAGGAAGCGAATCTGAGTCCGTCAGTGTGCCAGCCCTTTAAGAGGAACTGCCTGGTCTCCAGCAGCTTCTATGTGCGTCAGCCACAATCCCTGCTGCTGTTTACAGCCTGAAGTGACGAGGACTTTTCTTCCTGGCTCTGGAACCCTGGGCTGGGGGTCTGGTGTGGGGCTGGGACCCCTCGCTCAGCCCTAGATATCCCTCCTAAAAAAGACAGTGCGTGTGGTTGTCGGACCAGCCCGTTCTCTGTGCCTTCACCCCTCCTGTCAATCTCGATGTGCTTTCTTCTTTACTTCTCTAGTTGTAGGACTTCAGCCAGATTTCAGGCAGTTCTGAATGATGGTTCTGTATTTTAGTTGTAATTTTGATGTGGTTGTGGGAGGCGGCGAGTACTGGCATTTACCTGCACCGCCATCTTTGTTCTCCAGACAGAACCTTTCAAACCACACACATTCAGCAGGCTTCCGCTGCCGCTGAGGGAGAGTAAACCGGTGGAATGGTTTTGTTTTATATCAAGCAAACAACATTTAGTTAAAAGTTAGCATTTAATCCAAAGAACGTTAGCTTTGTGGGGGCAGGGCTCGGCCTCTGGAGTTGCTGTGCCCAGAACACCTGCTACGACGAGGTCTGGCATGTGGGCATTCATAGTGGCTGGTAAGGTAGTTGTCTCTCTTGGTTAATTAGCACCAGGTAACTCGCAGCAGTTTTGCCAGCCTACTGTCTTTGTAAAAAACAACCTGTATTTCACAGATTTTCTGTGGATGGTTGGCATTTTCTTTATTTCTGACTCTAGGGTTGAAAGCAGGTTACTCTTTTTTTAAAAAAAAAAAGCTGTGTGTGGTGAGCAATGAGTGGGCTCTGGAGCCCAGGAGAGGTGGGTGATGTGGCTCTAAGGGACCCAGGGGTGGCCGGCTGGCGGGCCCGCTCACCTGCAGGTGCATCTCCTGCAGGGCCATCGCAGGATCGCATGACACACGCTGCCGGCTCTGGTGCGGACAAGGAGTCATTCCAAGAAAGGATGCCTTCCTTCCCTCAAGGGTGGCTTCTCTTTCTAAAAGTTTCGAAAGTCAGGAAAGAATGCTTGATTGCTGATAGCGTGAAAAGAACAGTCCTGGTTTGGTACTGGAATGGGGTCAATCCTTAAAAAGCACTGAACCCAGGAAAAGTGAGTCAACTATTACATCACCACTTGGCATCATTCTACCCGGAAATTGTGTGTCCAGTCCGTGTAGTCATTTAAAATTTAAGTTTTATGGACTTTTACAATAGTAACCATGGAAATGTTTGCGTGACAAGGGTTCAGCCAGAGTGATTTTTATGTGGTTAGATGGGTGTTCGGGGTCAGGCCTAGCTCACCCTGAAAGTTCCCCATCCATCCTCACTCCTGCATCCTCTGCCATGCCTGCCTTCAAAGCCGCTTCCCTCTGGCCTAACTCGGGGTACAGATCGCCCGGAGAGGTTCTGTGTGAGCGCCTGCTTGTTCACCCTCTCCACACCTCCCACCCACCCAGGGTGCCCTGGGATTCACTTGGGTGGGGCTGGGGGACAGTTAGAATGGGGCGACAGTTTGGAGAAGACTTGGTTAAAACTTGTTTTGTTTGTATTGATTTGAGAGAGAGAGGAAGCAGGAGGGAAAGAGAGAAATATCAATTGGTTGCCTTAAGTTGTGCCCTGACTGACAATAGAATCCAAAACTTTTGGTGTACAGGATGGCACTCCAACCCACTGAGCCAGAGTTCATTTTTTGTTTGTTTGTTTGTTTTTGTTAATTCTCACCCAAGGATATTTTTTTCCATTCATTCATTCATTTATTATTTGAGAGAAAGGGAGGGAAGGAGGGAGGCGGGGAGAGAGAGAGAACATAGATGTGAGAGAGACATACTGATTGGTTGCCTCCTGCATGTGCTGCCCTGACCTTGGCTGGGGATCAGACCTGAAACTCAGGTAAGTGCCTTTGATGGGGAATTGAAACCAAACCCTTTTGTACTTTTAAATACTTTTCAGAAGCTATGACACAAGGTCAGTTTTATTTATAACAATAAGTAAAATACAAAGTACAAGTTTTGTTTTTTTTTGCAAAAAATACAAGAGGAAGCTACATTTATGTTGTCATGAGATCTGATCACCATGGTTTTTAAACATTTTGGGGTGTTTGAGATGGAACGTGCACGTTTAATTGCGAGTGCGCTCCACAAGAAGATAGCACGCTGCATGTGATACGTTCCAGCCCATGAGGCTGGTGGCTCCCAGTGCCCGTGTCTGCCCTGCTCCCGGGTGTGGGCCAGGCCTTTCCCGAGGGCGTGTGCAGGCATCTTCCCATGCATGGTGGATGTGCTGGAGACTTGCCTTTTTGTTCCCTTTCATTTGGGCCGTCACGTGGCTTTAATGGCTCCATTAACAAGCAGGTGTGGGCCTCGGTGACAGAGGAATGAAAGCTTCCCGCCTTTTTCTTCATCAAAGATGCCTTTGCTTTTATACCCAAAACTTTTTCTGCTCCCACGCGGGGGTGCAGACCTGCACCCATTGGCTGCGTTAATAGGCAGAACACACGGTTGCCCTTTGGGCCCTGGGGTGGCCCTGGTGAGTCAGCCCAGCGCTGCACCCGCCTGCGTAGGCACACGGCAGGCCGGCCGCTCGGTGTCCTTCCTCAGGTGGCACTCGTGCTCCTCAGAGAACAGCCACTTCATCTCTTCCTCCCGTGATGTTGGAAATGTTCCTGAGGAGTTTTACCTGGTATGAAGGTCGACGTAGTTGTTGAACTGACCACCTCAATTTCTATGTCCTCAAGTGTGTCCAATGATTTGTGTGTGTGTGTGTGTGTGTGTGTGTGTGTTTGCCTTCTTGCAGTGGAAGCATATGAAATTTTTGAATTTTGCATCGCTGAAACTCCAGCTTCGAGAAAGGCAATCATCCTACGTCCCTTACTCCTTATGCAGAGCTAGGTGGCGGGTGACCATGTTGGTCTGTTACTGTAGTCTGGAAGTCAGGGAGCTTCCGGAAATAGGAATGCGCGTGTGCGAAGGGCATGCTGCCCGCACACCCGTCTGCCTGACCACGGAAACGATGTGATTCTTGTTCTTGTTCTGGTGCAGCCTCCATGCGGCAGTCTCAGGCCCTCCCTGCAGACATGCGACCGGAGATGTGGATCGCACAGGAGCTGCGGCGGATCGGGGACGAGTTCAACGCCTACTACCCACGGAGGGTAATGAGGGTTTCTTATTCCTTACTCACCCCTCTTCTCCCACGCTCCCTCCCGGCAACATACGATAAAGTGACCGGTAATCATCCCGTGCTTGTTCTACAAGTGATAGACACGGCCTGTGTGCAGCCTGCCGTTCCTCCTTCCCGTGCTCCTTTGTGTTATGGCTGAACTGACGTGCTGGTGGCTCTGCCGAACCCAGTACGAGGCGGCAAAGGGGGCTCGTGAGCACAAGCCTTAAACCATCGTGCTAAAAAGGGGTTATTTATATGCTTTGAAATAGTCCCACATAAATGTTACCATCGTTTCAGTCCATATCGGTGTGTCTACACTCCCTTTAGTCAGTTTTGGCCCAAGTCAAACATTTAACTTGCCACCCTCATTCGCGAAGGAAATGAGGCCCTGGGGTTTGCTGGTGACATGGGTCGGAGCATGTGATGATGTCCTTTTGGTCCCATTGGCTGTCCTTGGAGTGTCATTTATTGAAAAGTATTACAATTAGGAGGCCATTCATTAATGGCCTGTAAAAACTACACTTCTGGCACAAAAATGTTACACCCCAGGTTGATTGCCATTTACATTTTGGAGTGTGAGGTTGATTTTTTAAATTAAGCCCCATGTCTTGTTCGGCAGATGCAGTGTATTTCCTGCTTGCCTCGTATTGGTAGGCGGTACCATTAGTAGGTGGTACCTTTTCTCCATGAAGACTTGAGAGTGTGTAGCTTCAACTCAGATTCAGGGGGGCCGTTATGAGCATGTTTGACTGCGTCCTGTAAGGGGCTCGCTAGCCAGTGTGTGATTTCATGGGATTCTGGCTGGTTTACATTTTTTTTCCAAACGACCATGTATGAAGAAGGAAAATCTCTTGAGTTATTTAAAAGATAGACACCTAAATCTTACTTTGTAGGAAATGATGGTTAATGTCGTTCCTACTGTGTCACTTCCCTCTGACTCTTTTCTTTCTGAACACTGTGGTTCCATATAAAGATATTTTTAAATCTCCTTTCTTCTGGAGGAAGGACGAGCTTAGGACACTCCCTTGTTTCCGTCCTGTGCTGAATGCTGGACGGTTGCTAAGCAAATAGATGTTACCTGTTACAGGTCTCCATCCTTCCTGTGCTCCTGTCCATACACGTACTTTGAAGCTTTTCCCAGCACATGGAGACAGTTCCCCATTACATGGGGGGATTTCATTTATTCAGTGTAGGATCTCCAGAAGGGGATCAGGGACTTTCAGAAAGCTCACACTGGATCCCCTTCAGACCTTCCTGTGGGGGGGAGAGGGTGGTGAGGGTGATTGGTGGGAAGTGCGTGACAGTGAGATTCTGTCATTAAATGGGAATTGTGTGGCTGGGCAGCAGTCCTCAGGGCGGGGGCCCAGTGAATGCAGGATGTTGGTCCCTATGCCAAAGTGGGGGGTCCCTGAAAGAGGGTGGGCTGGCTAGATCTGGAACCTGGTTCTGGATTGTGCCCATAATCCAGCCGGTAGGTCACTGGGGAGCCAGGGGCCCTCGGGGTGGGTAAGGCCGGCAGTGAACCAACCCCAGCAGCCTACCCGCCTCCTGCACCGCCTCCAGGTGGGTTGGTAGGTGTCTTTGGGACCAGATCTGTCTGAGAGATGAGGCCCGAGGGCCTTGGTGCCTTCATTGTACAGAAGCTCTGGGCACCGATACATCAGAACAGTCCCTCCCGGTGATGGTGCCAGAGCCCTTGGCCACAGGGCCAGGTGTGGAAGGCTGTTCTGTACGTTTCTCTAACCTTACGTGGAGTACTGGTGTCCACCAAGCTCTCCCCGAGCCTGCCCAGGCGGGGTGGGTGATGCCTCCTTTCGGGGTCCTGAGGTGGTCAGTGATGGGACAAGGGCGAAGGATGACGTGTGGGTTGGAGCATAGCCATCCTGTCACACAGGCTGTCGAAGGGGTGACCAGTTCTAGTCACGGCAAATGAGACCCCGGCCATTAGGTCGTTTTCATCACCTCGTCTTTCGGTTGAAGGTGAAGTGACAACATCTACCAAGTCGGTTGCTTTCGGTCTTTCCCGTCCTTCCTCCCCATCCTCCCCCTCCTCCCACGGTTATTTCAGTTTAATGTGTTAGATGGTTGTGTCTGCTATTGCAGATATGTAACTATCTGCTCTCGGTGTGTTGGTGAGATAAGTGTAAATCTCACTGCATTCTGTTGCTGGGATACAGAGGGACAGGCAGACTGCAGGATACAACCTGATGTTTCTAAAAAGGCGGCTAATGTGTCCTCCAGGTTTTATAAGTGGCCATTTCAAACACCTCTCTGCAGCTCAGGGTGGTGACACAGTGACTCCAGAGCCACAGATGCTGCCTTGATGGTGTTAAACACCCCCATTGTCTGCACACCCTGATGGTTTGTCCTTCAATATCGGGGCCAGAAATTTGGGGGAAACGGGAGGCCTTTTGGGAAAGTGATGGCTTGAACCTTCACGGTGGCTGCGCTCAGAAGCCTTTGCCCTTGGTGAGGGTGCGCTGCTTCAGGGCGAGGTTAGCGTTTCAGACACTTGGCGCCTGCATTTGCTTTAAACCACCTCAGTCCCTGTTCTGCAGTGCTGGTCTTTGACTGCCACGAGCGTGCAAACCTGACAGGGTATTCTCCCGTTTACCCAGTGAGAGCGCTAGAGGAAGTTGTCCTGTAGTTGTCGTGTGTTCAGGCCGCGGCAGGGCAGTAGGCAGCCTATGACCCGGAGCTGTGGAGGCTGAGTCCTGGAAGCAGGCGTGGGAGAGGCACAGGTGAGCAAGTCCGCTGCGTGTTCCCTCCCCTGGGACTCCGCGTGATGCCCAGATGACCTCCGGGGCCAGAGACCCCCTCCTCCCCACCCGAGAGCAGCTTCCCCACGCCACGTCGGGCCGGTTCTGTGACTTGTTCTGTAATCATTTCAGACTTCACACAGAAGTTACAAGAATGGTCCGAAGGGCCCTCTTCTGTCTGCTACCTCTGCTCTCCGCTGTTGCCCTCCCCACACTTGCGCTAACGCTTCTCTCCTGATACCTGTGTACATGTTGTTTTCTGAAGTATTTGGGAATACATTGCAGACATGGTGTCCCTTTACTCTTAAATACTTCTGTGTGTATTTCCTAAGACTTAAGAGGATTTTCTTCTGTAGCCTCAGTGTAGACATCAAAATCAGAAGCTTACAACACTGCAGTAATGTTGTGTAGTCAGTGGGCCTTGTCCACACGTGGCCCACTGTCCCAGCCGTGGGACATGTGTCCTCAGTGCTCGGCTGCAGTCAGCACTTTCCTGTGTGTGATGGGAGGGACGCGTGCACAGGGCGACAGGTCTCCTTTCCCCGGGGGTTTGCTTCATTCATCGCGGGTTCATGGGTCCCTGTATATTTTTATTTAATTTCATTTAATTTTGTTGATTAGAGAGAAAAACATCGATAAGTTTTTCCACTTGCTTATGCATTCATTGGCTGATTCTTGCATGTGCCCTGGCCTGGGATCGAACCCGCAACCTTGACATAGCGGGATGACTTTCTAACAACTGAGCTACCCAGCTGAAGCTGTGCTCCCTGTTTAATTCAGGGGGTTAGGGTGTGTTACACTCAGTACCTATTTTGATGCTCAGATTGCCGCAGGTGGGGCCACTGGCAGCCGTGTGGTGTCTTTTCACCACGTCATTGAACATAAAGTGTCGGGTGGTGGAGGCCCATGACCAAAGCGTTGTGGGACTGTGGATGGATTTGCGGCTAAATGACCTTCACCCACACAGCGTTCTGACTCTTAGAGCTCCAGGACTCTGCAGGGGGACAGGTGAGCACAGGGCTGACAGGCATCGTCCCCAGACAGGACTTCTCAGAGGCGAGGGCTCTGTGACGAGGAGTGAGGGGTCAGTGTGGTTGCCTGTGCTTCCGCAGCCTGTTCCCGGACTCCCACTTCCTCACGGGTAGCACTGGTGCCCCTGGTTCCTGAATAGCCTCTGCTAGTTTCCTCACCCTGAGAAGCCGCAGGAGGCCATCCAGGTCCCGGCCTTCCCTAAGTGTGAGCCTGGATCTGGCTCAAGAGGCGATCCAAATCCATGCTCACACTTACTGATGCTGGAGGGGCATCAGCAAGTGTGGGCATGGCCGTCCGAGGGTGCAGGTGGCGTGTGCTTACTCGTGTGAACGGGCCAGGCTTACAGTCGGAGGCTGCTGAGGGTGTGCCGCACCCTTCAGACCTGGAATCCCGTGCTCTCGGGGTAATTAGGCCCATCCTGTAAGCAGCGTGCTCCCGGCCCCCCGTGCCAGGGCCTGTGCAGCCTGGGCCGGTCCGTGCGCAGGTCCCCGCCAATGAGCAGTGACGGGATGTCCTGGCAGTGAACTGCAGGGGACAGCCGCACACAGAGCCGTGGCAGACACTCTGGATGGGCTGGGAGGTGGGTGAAAACCCTTCCATTGTCTGGTCACAAGGAACGGTGTGTCTTTTGTTCACAAGGCCTCCTTCCTACTGTGTCCCAGGCGTGTGCGGGCATGAAACAAAGGGACAACCTGGAGACGGAAGCGCACATGAACCAAAGCAGGGAGAAAAGGGGCTCAGACGCTGTTTTTATAAAAGATACTCTTGACAGATCACGTGCAAGGGGGAGGTCTGCACTGAGCTTGCTTGGTGTGAGCACATACTGAGCGTAACCCGGGGCTGTGTGTCTTCAGGCAGCATTCTGCAGAGGCCTGCATTAATTGAATGTTGGGGTTTAATAAAATGAACCGCTTTTCGTTACTGCCTGAGTTGAGAATCATGAAAAATACACATGTCCGTTATTAAACACATAGTACAACATACAGATCTTACAGTACAACATTCCTGAAACCTACGAGATTCTGTGGGCCAACGAGTTTAATAAGAGAAAAAGGTAAACTCGCTGCTCGGATGGTGAATTGTCTCACCTTTGCTCACATGGATTCACAGTGACCGCTTTCACAGCCAAAGCAGTGATGAGTCCGGTAAACCCATTGGCATCTGCTGCTGGTGAGTTTCCAGGTTTAGCAGGTGTTTT